TTAAAAAAAAAACTAAACTATCTTTTAAAATATTTTTTATAACTAAATCACAAAATATATTATATATACATAAGTAATCATAAAGTTTACAAAATAACACATATTTTAAATATAAGTAGTAAATTACTCGAATAGAACTAAATTCAAAATTTGATATGAATCACAAATCAATCTATATTATAAATTACACTATAATTTTAGAAAAAAATTTATAAACAAAACTTATAAATAAGAGCATAGCATAAAATCTTAATTATTCGGAGTAATAAATCAGAATACTCTAAACGTGATAAAAGATGTTCATAATAAAATATGAAAATGGATAAAATGGTTTGAATAAAAAACACATAATAAATCACACGTCTTCTATATTGATATCATTTTTATAAATACTTTTTCTTTTGGTTAGATCAATTTCAAGTTTTTCTAGATTATAATTTAAATACGAATGATGCACAATAGGACTTCTAAACTATATTGACTAGATAATTCATAAAAAAAAAAAAAAAAACTAAACTATCTTTTAAAATATTTTTTATAACTAAATCACAAAATATATTATATATACATAAGTAGATCTAGGATCATATGAGAACACTTGCTTAGGTGAGAAGGTGAGAACGTGAGAACAGATCGTGTGCATCCATATAATATTTTTAATGGTCTAGATTATATTAAGTCTGTGCGAACGCGAATTAAATGTGTGAAAACGCGATTAAGTGCTTTGCACATATTTAATTAATTCTTGTTCGCACACTTAATCTAATATATACAATTAGATAGATGCACACGATTTGTTTTTACGTTCTCACATAAGCAAGTGTTCTCATTGGAACCCTACCCTACATAAGTAATCATAAAATTCACAAAATAACACATATTTTGAATATAAATAGTAAATTACTCGAATAGAACTAAATTCAAAATTTGATATATCACAAATCAATCTATATTATAAATTCACTATAATAAGTTTAAAAAGGTAAAAATAAAAAATAAAAAAATCACAATGTTACAAATTAAATTTAAAAAAATACAAACTAGAAATGTAAATAGAGTACGGAGGTAAAACTTAATTAGAGAGTAGACAGTGCGAAGATTCGATCCTAAGAACTTGAGCACTATAATAATTTTAGAAAGGTAAAAAAAAATCACAATGTTACAAATTAAATTAAAAAAATACAAACTAGAAATGTAAATAGAGTACGAAGGTAAAACTTAATTAGAGAGTAGACAGTGCAAAGATTCGATCCTAAAAACTTGAGTACACAAGCCAAGAATCTTACCGTCTCACCTAACTTTCTATTCAATAATCTATATGTATACTAAATTATTATACATTTATGGTATGAAAGGTAAGGGGATATGCAATAGTTATGCTGTGCAACCGAATGTACCATGCGCATGGTGCATACGATGCAAAACGACGTCGTTTTGATTAAAAATGCGCATTCCACTTTTAAAAAAAAATCAGGTTCGATTCTCGGCAATAGCATTATTGTGGATATATAGTTATGAATTTCTGGATATATAGTTATAAATTTGTGGATATATAGTTATGAATTTATGGATATTTAGTTCATTCATTGTAGATATTTACTTTATTCATTCACTGTGGATATATAGTTATGAATTTATGGATATATAGTTATGAATTTCTGGATATATAGTTATGAATTTATGGATATTTAGTTCATTCATTGTGGATATTTAGTTCAATCATTGTGGATATTTAGTTCATTCATTGTGGATATTTAGTTTATTCATTGTGGATTTTTACTTCATTCATTCATTCATTGTGAATTTTTACTTCATTCGTTCATTCATTGTGGATTTTTACTTCATTCATTCACTGTGGATATATAGTTATGAATTTGTGGATATATAGTTACGAATTTCTGGATATATAGTTATGAATTTCTGGATATATAAAAAAGCTATTGCCGAGAATCGAACCTGATTTCTTCTTTAAGTGGGACGCGCGTTTTTTTAATCAAAACGGCGCCATTTTGCAACCGTATGCACCTTACAAGGTGCATTCGGTTGCACGGCATAATTTGCGGGGGACATGGCGGTGGGCCCCTTCCAAGCGTGGGCTCTGGGCAAGGGCCCAACCTACCCTTGCCCAGTGCCGGGCCTGATTACCCCTAGGGTGTTGGACCTCTTTATGTAGGCTCGGTTAATGTGTGTATCCCTTATGCATGTTTAGTATATCTTTTGCGTAGTTCATCACATAAATCGATCGACGAATTAACATGTTCATGTATTATTCTTAACTTATTTTAATATAGTACTATAGGGTTGTTGGTTTTCCAAAAAAATAAAATAAAAGAAGGTATTGTCAAAGAGTCATTTTTTTAAAGAGTTTTTTCCCAAAATGGTCCCTCGACTATTGCTCATTCTCAATTTTGCATTTTGACTTTTAATTGCACCCAATGTGGTCCCTTGACTTTTAAAAACTCCCCCAAATTGGTCCTCCGTTAGAAATTCCGTCTATTGAGTGTTAAAATGAAGGGCATTTTCGTCCTTTTACCTATTATATGCCTAATATACTCTGAAAAATAGTCAAGGGACCATTTTGGGAATAGTCGAGGGATCATTTTGAGAAAAACTCATTTATTTATTTCATTTTTGTTTATTTTCATTTTTGTAAGACTATCAAATTAGAGTTTCTATACATTTTTTTTTTTACAAATATATATAGTTAAAATCCACAATCAAACCTCAAAATTTTAAACTTTCTATACAAATTTAATTAGTTCCTTCTGTCTAAACATACAAACTTTTCCTTTAATCCTATCAAGTTTTACAATAAGTTTTGTAAATTTCAAAAATATAATACTCATATACTTTTTATGTAAACACACACACACACACACACACACACACACACACACAAACTTCAATAGACAATCAATCACTATGTATCATATTAAATTTTATTTTTACCATGACACCCAAAATGTATTCTTCACTTCTCGGTCACTATGCCTTTTGAAAATAAAATTATTATTTTTACAATCAATCGCTATGCTCTGGCACTTCTTCGAACTGAGAAGTACGCGTCACTTCTCGGTCAATGACAAAATCTTAGAAAATATTTTTGGAAAGTTGGTTTAACTTAGTCTGTAAGGCCATTAGTTTCATTCCAAAGTTAGTACAAACCATAGCTACCATTTCCAAAAGCCTATCTACCCAGAAGTACATTATGCTAAAGAGAGTCTAGAACTATATATGGCTATCAATTTTATGTCTTAAAGGACAAGTAAAATAAACCAAATGCAAAAATAATTAGCACAAAACAAACAATTCTAAACCCAAAGTCTCATCATTTACCAATATTACAAGTTCTTGTCATTTTGAAGTTTGTTTGTATTTTATATATGAATGTTAATAAACTTAAATTTGAAATTTAAATTTGTTTACCAAAGTACGTAAAAAAATAATAATTTTATTTTAACTATAAAAATAATATTTAATGTAATACATAATGATTGATTGTCTTCTGAAGTTTTAATATGATTATATGATTATATATATATATATGTGTGTGTGTGTGTGTGTTACGAAATTTATTGTAAAACTTGATAGGGATAGGGGAAAAATTTGTATGTTTAGACAAAAGGAAAAAAATTGTAGAGAACGTTTAAAATTTTGAGATTTGATTATGGATTTTAACTAAATATATTTGTAAGAAAAAAAAATATATAGAAATTCTAATTTGATAGTGTTAAAAAATGGAAATAAATAAATGAGTTTTTCTCAAAATGATCCCTCGACTATTTCCAAAATGGTCCCTCGACTATTTTTCAGAGTATATTAGGCATATAATAGGTGAATGGACGAAAATGCCCTTCATTTTAACACTCAATAGATGGAATTTCTAACGGAGGACCAATTTGGGGGAGTTTTTAAAAGTCAAGGGACCACATTGGGTGCAATTAAAAGTCGAAATGCAAAATTAAGAATAAGCAATAGTCGAGGGACCATTTTGGGAAAAAACTCTTTTTTTAAACAATTGTCAAAGTCATAATTTCTGAACAAAGTGAAACTCACCTTGGTGTTCAATACTTCAATTGCATGCGTGCAACATGCCATGCTAACCATGAAGGACAAAGAAATTCAGATCGTAATAGTAGCCTTGGCTTCCTTGAGTGACATGCTAACCATGAAATTAAAAATAAATAAAATAAGTAGAATCAATAGTTGGACTGCAGTAGTTTAAAAAAGTATAGAACAGATACTATATTATAATAGAGTCAATAATATTTCTAAAAAAAAGATTGAAGCAATAAATCCACGAGCAAACAACAATGATTATGTTTAAGAAGAATCAACTACTAGTAAATAGAATTGAAAAACAAGGCATTTTAATGTTGTTTCTTGTAATCGAAATTGAGTTAATACCCAATATATAGTCCTCGGCTATAGTGATTTTACTCAATTTAATCTTAAATGACTTTTTGTACTCTATTTAGTTCTAGACTTTAATGATTTTACACACTTTAGTCATCTCTTAAGAATTTCGTTTGTTGGCGGTTAATAACAAGCTAAGGTTAACCAATCCTTATGTTGTGTAACCGTGTGCACCATGCGGTTGCAAAACGACGCTGTTTCATTAAAAAAAAAAAAACCGTTTGGATTGCCCGTAACGGCGCTAGGCGGTTTCCTTTCGTATTCAAACAGTAGGATATATCCATAATTTCGGAATGGAGCAACCCTAGGGCATTTATCAGGAAACCTAGAAAATAAAACATACTTTACATAATTTTTTTTTCGATAATTATACTCTTTCAAACAAAACACTAGAATTTAAATTCTTACTAATTCATTTTTTGCAACCAAACGTCCCGTTAGTGTGTGACCTCCATGAGATGAAATAAGACAAGATGAGACTAATTGAGACCTAAGCAATCTTTTGAAAACTTACATATGGGATTGAATTTAGTGCTGAGTATGAAATTATCCTATTTAGAAGATTTGACTAAAATGACTTGAAATTTTGTTCACCCCCAACAAAAAAAAAAAAAAGAAAAAACATCTTTTACAACGTTGAGATCTTCTCCCTATATGCTTCCAGCTCCAATTCACCGAAGCACAACTATCTCTTGGCACCTTCTCCTGCAAATCTCTTCCTCCCTTTTTCGTAATTTCCCAGGTGCGCTCTTCATTTCTTCTGGATCACCAGTTCACCACTCCAACAGGTCAGTTCTTCATTTTCTTTTCTACATTTATGCAATTCTCAGTGCACTCTTTCAAAGCTTAGGTTTTGTAGTCAGTTTTCCTCGCATACATTTATTCATATTTCTATCATGATCTCTGATTTTTTGAAATCCAGACTGAATTAAGGAAGCTGGGTCTGATCACTAAACAAGGTACCGGCTTGATAAATTATTATTGTTTTGTTTTTGATTTATCTGTTTGTCGACTGAATTACATCATAGATTCATATCTGGCTCGGTGTGCGTTTTGAAATTAGAGGTTTTCAGCAGTTGTTACTTTAGTTTTTTATGTTCATAGTTTTGAGTTCAATTTGTTGTGTTGTTGTTATAGTATGCTATATATTTTGGTTACTTATTTCTTTTCTGGTAGAGTTGCTAAATTGGCTGATTGATCATTTGTGGCTCTGTTTCTGAGGATATTTAGTAAATGCCTGAACAAAAAAAAGAAGAGAAGACATAATGCTTGTGTAGGATATTAGAGCCCGCATAGGAGAAACAAGATGGGTGTAACAACTTATGGAAATTTCAAAGTATGTATATTTACCAATATACCAAAATGCAACTATTTCAGTGTTATACCAAAATCTGTTTTTTCGCATTATTAAAACGCGAGTTTATGTTCTCATTCTTTTTTTTTTTGGGAGTTCCGGCGGGTCTTCCCTCCACTCCTGACGATCGTCAATGAACAGGGCTTCCCTAGCTAGCAAATGGGCAGCCTTGTTCGCGGACCGCTTAGCAAACAAAAAGCTAATAGATTGAAAATCATCAGCTAATTTCCTAATATCTTCAGCTAAAAGATCAAAAGAGGAATTACAGTAGAAATTACTAAGCCCTTGAATGACTAAAAGAGCATCTGACTCCACAAGGATAGCTTGAACATTGAATGATTTTATCCACTTTAGGGCCTCTCTGATTCCAATGGCTTCAGCAAGTTTAGGAGTATAAGATCCTCTCCACTTGATCTGCAGCGCAGCTACAAACTGTCCTTCGCAGTCCCGGAGAATGCTTCCCAGTCCCATATTCCCTGTGTTCACTTCAATGGCATTCCTAGAATGCAAAATCTCATTGAATTCTAAATCTGAAACATCACACTAAAATATGATGGGTGCTGGATATGTAGGCCAAAGCAAAGAGTGCATGCCTCTATCTCAAGTGACGTTTAAGAGATGAAGAAACATTAGTAAAATCTTTCCCCCCTCCCCTTCTCTCTTTTCTTCTATAAACAAGAAAGAGCAAGATGGAATACATTTGCAACTGCATTCACTTTATCACCATCTTCTCTTATGAATGCACAAACTTACTTCTTTATCATCATCCTTTCAGTTACTTATCAAATACACACACACACACATATCATTATCATCACCGTCGTCTTTTAGTTTGCTGCCAAAACCTCTGTTAAAACCCACTGCCTTGAGTGTGTCCCCTCTTGCTCATCGATCTGCCATTTTTATCCTCTGCCAATTTCCATCACAAGGAGTTCAAGTAATTTATAAGTTGTTTAAACAGCAAAATTGTTGCCTTAGAAGACAGACTGTTAATCTCCAAATGAGGGTTAGATCAAACTGGAAAAGAGTTATGGAAGTTAATGCATGAGATGTGAGGTGATAGTTGTGGTTTGTTGGACACACAAGTGATGGCACATGGGATAAATGCACAATAATGATTGGTGGCGTTTCAGAGAGCATAATGATGGCATGGCTTACAAGATCTAACTTTATCTCTTGAGTAGAAGCAGTTGGAGGTGACTCTTTCAAAAAGAAACCTTGAATACTTGGAAGAGAATTCCTTGGTTTTCAATGACATGTGGTAGTGATTCTAACTAGAACGACTTTGATACCAACTCAAGAACAGAAAAGTAAGTTCACCAGAAAAACTGAAAAATGTGTCAGTTGTATATTTACATAGCGAAGAATCTATCTACATGTGAAAAAAGAGAGGAAATTTTCTAATTACAAGAGATATTAAATATTCAACAAATTCCTTCAAGATGTATAATCTATTGCACTATTTCTCTACAATAACTACCATTGTGTAACATCTATGAATTTTTTCGAGTCCCAGGTTGACACAAATGCCTATGATATCAATGAGGGGTTTCTTCAAATTATGAATTATGTAGTGGATATGTAATTATGCATATTTTTTCATGGAGTAATTTCTGGCCATGGTTAATCTATGCATGAACCGTAAGGGGTTGACCTGCTGATAAGCTAGTGTTGACTTGTAGGCCTAGTCTGGGTTTCAAATTCGTGTGACCGTGCCTGCTTTGATACATGGTCAGGATGTCTACTTGGTATATGTTGAAGAGGTGCTTGGCATACACTTGTGGATTCGTTGTCCATGAGGCTTGAATGCCACACATCTTCAAAAAATAAATAAAATTGTATGTATATATGTGCCTGTATATGCCTGTGTAGATGTCCATTGATAATTAGTTCTTTCATATGTAAAAATTTCTCCAAAATGGTGCTCTAATATTACGTTATAACCTTTACAGCTTGGATTTTTTCAAAATCTTTTCTCCTGAGTCCTGAGTTGGCTTGAATGATACTAATGGATTTTAACTTCTGCTTCTCTTGTATTTTATATGGATTAGATGAAAGAGAGTATAGATGGAACAAAAATTGACAGATTATCAAAATCTTTGTCTACCGACTCATGCCCGCTTGTTCTAGACATAGATGACTTTAAGGTAATGTTTCAGACATTAACTAACGAGAGTATTTAAGTTGTTGACTTGTTCAATTTAGTTTCCAGTGGATAGCAAATAATTATTAGCAACATGCTTCATTTCACCATTCAGGGGGACTTTTCTTTTGATGCATTATTTGGAAGCTTGGTGAATGAACTCTTGCCTTCTTATCAAGATGAAGAAACAGCTTCATCGGAAGGGCACATCACCATTTCTGGAAATGATTCAGTACCAAATGGGAATCTGCGGATGCCACCTGATGCAGGAAAATCAGCACATGGGCAACTAAATGCCCTGTTTCCTGAAGTTGATGCTTTACTAGATCTATTCAAGAATTCTTGTACGCAATTGATTGATCTCAGAAAAGAGGTACATAAAAGATCATTTGCTTGATTGGGAGAGTTTATATTATCTACTTTAACTTCTCTTTTGATGCTGCTATCTTGGACATAAAGATTGATGGTAAACTAAACAATCTCAAGAAAGAAGTTGCAGTACAAGACTCAAAGCACCGGAAGACAATTACTGAGGTTAGACTTTTGTTCATTATTTTGTGGTTGCAAACAAATGAGATGCTATAACTTGTATAGACTTTTTGAAGCCTCCCCAGTTTGGTTGTTGTTTTCATGCCGTGAAATTGATACTTGATACCTCCTTGAAACTTTTAATTTAATTAGCTTTATCTTATTTACCCAATATATTTATTTATAACTGGAAGAACACTGATTTGGTCTGCTTTCATTCATCTCTTTTATCTGTTGATTCTTGGCTTCTATCATAAGATGACATTGGCAAATGTATCACTCTCGTTTTCCTACATCTGATTATGTATTATTATATGCAGCTAGAGAAGGGTGTGGATGGCTTGTTTGATAGCTTTGCGCGTCTGGATTCTCGTATATCTAGTGTGGGTCAAACTGCTGCCAAAATAGGAGATCATTTGCAGGTAAAGATCAGTTTACTTGTTTAGTACACAGTTTTTGCACTGCAGGCATAAGGGTGTTTCTATTATAAGATTTCATTGTCACTTGATTTGCTTATCACAGTTTTTTAACAGTGTTTTCTTTTGTGATGCTATTTTATTCATAATTGTGCATTCTATATTTTTTGTTCAGAGTGCAGATGCGCAGCGTGAAAATGCTAGTCAAACCATAGACCTCATTAAGGTAATTTTGATTCATTAGGGGGTGTTTGGTTCACTACTTTCAAGCTATGAATGGGAATGAAAGTGATTGAGATGTTTAATAAAGGAATTTTGGCTCCAGGAATGGGAATTGTAGAATGGAGAAAATGGGGTTTCCCATTCTCCCTCCAACCATGTGTTTCATTCCCATTCCTTTCCCTCAACTATTATTATTATGATTTTTGTTCATTGTTGTTATTATTATTATTATTGTAATATTGTAATTACTGATATTACTGTTATTATTATTATGGATTTTTTATTTTTTATTTTTATTTTTTTACTTTTATAACTTTGGTTCTGATCCTAAGGCTGTGTATATCCAAACAACAATTTCTGTAATGAAGTTTACTACCAAACAAACAGGTTACTTTTGCTAACACCCATTTCCATTCCTAAATTTTTGCTTCCAATTCTCATATTTGAACCAAACGCCCCCAAGTTATTTATTGAACATGCTGATCAGCTACTCTTTGTCGTGTGTGTGTGTCCATTTAGGGGGGAGGGGAGTCGGGGGACATGACACTGATGGTGATTGTTTATTTCATGGTATAGTACCTGATGGAATTCAATGGTAGTCCTGGAGATCTGATGGAACTTTCTCCTTTGTTCTCTGATGATAGTCGTGTTGCTGAGGCTGCTTCAATTGCACAGAAATTGAGTAAGATCATCATATTTCCTTGGTGGTCTTAAATGAAAAACCTCTTCTTTTGGCTATGCTTGTTTCTGGTAGAATTGTGTATGATAATCATATTTCAGGCAGAATTCTGAAGTAAATATTTTTCTTTATTACTCCCTCATCCTATTTTGTACACCAATATTTTTTAGACATCACTTTTGTATGGCTCTAAAATTAGTAAAGCACATTGAGTATGGTATGGAGGAAGTAATTTTCTGCTTATCTGCCAACACGAAGAGATATACATGAAGAAAGATGTAACCTTTCATGGCTAAATTTGTTCTACAGATTGCCTTCTGGAAGTCTCAATGGCCCATTAGTGTTTTCAGTATGTGATCCTTCCAAATGGAGCAAATATGTGGTTATGTTTCATGCTCAGTGAGGAGTGCTGAGGGAGAAATGTTGTGTAACATGTTTGCTATCACTTGTTGTATTTGGTTAGAGCAGAAAGCTAGATTCTTTCATGGAAGAACTGTTTCAATGAATTGTCTAGGAGAGAATTTTTTTTAGTAGATAACATTAGACATATTAAACAGGCATGGTAATTTTTTTTACTGGATAACATTAGTAAATTAAACATGCATGGTGGGTTAAGTACCAGCAAGTAAACTATGGATTGATGAAAATAGGGGCTATTTCTAAACCCTCCCAATTCCCAACTAAGGGTTGGAGGGCAGGTTCTTTTGATCCACTTTCAATAGTTCATATTTTTCATTTAAATTTTATTGTTAGGAAGACTAAAGTTAGAAGATAATTAGGAACATGATATAATGAAACAAAAAATTAAGGGATGATTGTTTGGATTTTATCTGATCCATTTTGACTTACTCTATCCCATCCTTTAGAAATGACCTGCTTGATTGGGTTGCAAATGAACCTTTTTAGGCATTTACCATAACAAGGCTTAAAGGTCCTACCATTAGAGTGACTTTGCAGGCATATTTATGGGCTATAGCTGCTCAAGTGTTAAGGGACGGACACTTTTCAGCTATTTTCTTTTGTTTCTTAAATTTTTCATCAGAGTACTCCTTGTTCTCTTTAGATTGTCTCTCTCACACTGTTTTGTCTTAGTTAATAATAATGATTTTTTATTGAAAAATAAAAAAGATACTACGTACAAAATATTATTAGTTCTCCATGGCATCTGAAATTTTGATATTATCTTCTGATTCTTCTCTCTCTCTCTCTTCATTTGTCTTTTATGTAATTGTTGCTCCTTATTTTTCTTTGATTGTTGCTCTTTTATTTTCTAGTTTTGCAGCAAAAAAGCATTATTATTCTATCCCCACCTCTTTCCTACAGTTTTGGGTACATTAAATAATGTATATTCTTTAAAAACTTAAAATAATTTCTATATATTTTATTTAGGATCATTTGCTGAGGAAGATATTGGAAGACAAAGTATAACTGCCCCATCAGTGGTTGGGAATGCTACAGCAAGCAGAGGGTTGGAGGTTGCCGTTGCTAACCTCCAAGAATACTGCAATGGTGCATTAATGTCTTACTACTTTCAGTGTTCATGCTACTAGGACAGCTTTTTCTGATGCTCTAAAAGATTAGCATCAATTACTATATATTGACCATTGTTCTCTATTGACTAGCTAGTAACCTTCAGGCTAACCTGAGAGGAACTCATGATTCAAATGTTCCAGATGACACTTAAATGCATTTGATTCAGCTCATGCCATTATTATACTGAATAAAATGAAATAAATTCACTGCAAACGAAGTATCACAATAACATCAAAGGAGACTCTGGTTTATCTAAGGAAATATACTATGATTAATTTCTATATGGAGAAGGAATGCACCTATAACACTGTAAAATGTCGGATTGCTCCTCTGCTGACTGGGTTTATAGCCGTAATGAAAGGGTTTTTATTGAGGGGAGATCAGACTGATCAGTAGTTTAGAGAATTTTAATAGTACAGTTAGATTTATTTTACTCCATAGTAAAATGTATTGAAAGTATTAACACAAGTTATGAACTTTTGTTCATTCCATCCCAGTCATACCACCTATACTTAGTGGTGAATGGTCACTTTTCTTCTGTTTGATGTTATGTAGAGTTGGAAAACAGATTGCTATCCCGATTTGATGCAGCATCACAAAGGCGGGAGTTGTCTACGATGGCAGAATGTGCTAAAATTTTGTCAAAGGTAAATTATTCAAGAGTACACTACTTTGACTGTGATACTGTACTAGTGCAAAAATAAAATCCATTTGAGATCCCAAATGTTTGGGGGAAAACATCACTGAGGGATGAGAACATTACCAGAGTTTTGATGCATTATAATTTTATAAAGATAGAAATGTTTAAAAGATTGGGACTACTTTTAATTTTTTTTTTCTTTTTAAACTCATTATATGAAACTAGTTATATGTACGCACAATGTGCGGATAAAATTTGCCCAATGGATAAAAAAAGTAGCAAAAGTATATGGTCAAAATAAATGTGAAATTATAGATGGAATTATAGGATACACCTTTAATAATAAGAGACAAATTTTCTTACACGGACTTACAAAAATATGTTGAATTTTATCTATAATTGAAATAATATTTTTTATATAGATCAAAGTGTTTTGTACTACGTATGATTATCTTTATTCATTGAACATTTTTATTTTCCAAAAGTGATATGTAATAGCTATCATAAGAACTTGTAATGATTTATGTTTAATATCACACAGTTGTATCAATAGGTACAAGTAAAAATGAATTCTATCATGCATCATTCATCTTAGTTTACCAAAATTTAGTCTTACATTAAAAAAAAAATTCAACCAATATTTTCATATCCTACAAGTTGGAATATAGATATATCATATTTGCTAAGAATTTCAATCAATATTGTTTTTGAAATTCTTTGGAATGTAAATATACTATTATAACTGCAATTATGGAGAATATAATATTTTTTTTCCCCATTAGAAGTCATTAATGTTAAAGGAAAAAAAGTACTGCATTAAATTGATAATCATTCTCATTAACGTAAAATGAAAAAAAAAAAGAAAAAGAAAGACTGCATTAAATTGATAACCATTCTTTAACTTTTGTAGCAAATGTTAAGAGAATTAAGTAATTTTCATAAAGATAAAGGGGTAAATTTGGAAAATAAATGTAAGAGGTATGTTACGAGTCCCACATTGAAAATATAAGAGAGAACATATGGGTGCTATGGGTTAGACTAGCTAATTGATTGGATTCGATCTTTAGTGTGGTTCCCATGTGTGTTATAGCCCAATTGAATGACCTTGACCCAATCTTAGATTATAACAAGGTACAATGAAGAAAGCACAAAGTATAATATATCAATGCAAATATTTAATTTTAGATTTTTAGGCACTTAATTTGAATCTCTTTCCATGATTTTTCCCTTCATGAAAGTGATACTAAAACCAAAAGAAAATCTGTATAATATTCTCTTTCCTTATGCATTGCTTTTGGAAAGCAGTTTAACAGGGGTACCAGCGCTATGCAACACTATGTGGGTTTACGTCCCATGTTTGATGTAGAGGTGATGAATGCAGATGCTAAATTGGTTCTTGGTGATCAAGAGGCCCAACCTAGCCCTAGCAACATTGCCCGTGGTCTTTCTACAGTCTATAAAGATATCACAGGTTTGAAAAGAGGCATTTAATATGGTGAACATGTTTCTCTTTTTTAGCGTCCTCATTTACACAGTATAATTTACTTTCAGACACTGTAAGAAAAGAAGCAGCCACTATAATGGCAGTATTTCCCTCTTCAAATGATGTTATGTCAATACTGGTCCAGGTATAGCTACTTGAATAATTATTTTCATATATATATATATATATATATATATATATATATATATATATATATATATATATATATATATCAAACAAATAGGGTATACTCATATACCAATCATAACATAAAACAAAGCTACTGATTTTTAAATGTGCATAGCTTGAGAAATGTCAATTCTGCTTTACTCATATTGTCTGTATTTCTATCTCAAATGTATATTGTGCTAGTAAAAGTTGAAAATTCAGGCATCATGAATGTGTACTATTATAGTTATGACATAAGTGATTGGGCTTTGTGTGCAGCGTGTTTTGGAGGATCGAGTTCCAAAACTTCTAGAGAAATTCTTGGTAAAACCATCTCTTCTTAATCCACCTCCTATGGAAGAAGGTGGTCTTATACTGGTGAGTTTCTTTAAAGTCCTTATTTGCAGATTAAGTAATGGGCTTTGATGTTGATCCTTTTAGTCTCTGTTGTTTTCAGTATCTCAGGTTATTGGCTGTGGCATATGAAAAGACACAGGAACTTGCTAGAGATTTACGTGGTGTTGGGTGTGGTGACTTGGATGTTGAAGGTAGAAAGTTTAAAAACTGAAAATACTGGGTTACACACTTGACACTATATATATTCATGTGTGTGTACACACACAGACGTGCAATTTGATAGAAATGCTAATAAACTTGAATACCCTTCAAAGATTAGCAACATCAGTTCCCCTAGGGTTTTCAGTGCAAAGTCATGAACGGCAAAATAATGAAGACAATAAAAGGGAAATTCATAAATTTGTATTTGGTTGGTTACTTGGTTAGCAAAAAAAAAGAGAACAAAGAGAGGTCTAGAATCCCCTTTTTGTCCATTCGTGAGCAGGAATATATTACGTATTCGGTATTTCTACATTTTATTCACTTCTAGAAGATTTTTTTTTTGTGGGAGTTAATGCACATCTCATATGCTATTTTTGTCTTTTATCTCTTTAATAGAACCAATTGATCACAATCTGTATATCTTTATTACTACTTCGTTGTGTCTCTTCTGTTAACATAATATCACACATGACTGAAACATTTGAACTTAAAAATTGGGCAGACGGATATCCTTTAAAGAATAGAAGTCATTTTTACTAAAGAAGCATCTCTACGTTCTCGAACTGAAGCATAACTTAATCCTAGAATGCAATGTATGAAAAAGAAAAAAAAAAAAAAAGAAAAAAGAAAAAGAAAAAGGAGTCTTAGAATGTAGGCATTTAGCTTTATTACCTAATTTACCTTTCTATATGTTATTTTGTATTGAAGTAAATACTTTTTGTTCTTTTTTTTTTTTCTTGGTATAGGCCTGACAGAATCTCTGTTCCTTCCCCACAAAGATAGTTATATTGAGTGTGAGCAAGCCTCTCTCAGACAACTTTACAAAGCTAAGGTTTGGAGCATAGAATCCTTATAAAAATGCAATAGAATTTTTTTTGGCTGTCAACATATCAACTACCCTCCTTCACCAGTACTTGGGACTTTTGCAGAGTCCTTTCATTCTTACTAATCATTAAAACTAGTTATTGTGCATTTCATCTGTATCCTGCAGATGGAGGAACTGCGTGCTGAAAGCCAGCAGTCTTCGGAGTCATCTGGGACAATTGGACGGTCAAAGGGTGCTTCAGTTGCATCGTCTCTCCAGCAGATTTCTGTTGCAGCAGTAACAGAGTTTGTGCGTTGGAATGAAGAAGCAGTATCTAGATGCACCTTGTTTTCACCACAGGTATGTATGTAACCTGGGGCAATATTTCAATAGGGACAATTAGATAGCCCTATGTTCTCTTTGAGATGTTTTAAGTCTGACCTTACTTCATATTAGCTAGGGGTTGCATTATCATAGGTGGAATAGTGGACTGTACCTTTGTATTGCATTAGTTTTAATTTGCCATAGTTAACTGTCAGTGGTATGGAATTCAAGCTTCCTCTGTTAGTGGGCATTTGGTCCTTTGGCTCGGTTAGATAAGCAGGATAGGTTTAGGTCATACAATTCAAGTCACAACTATTATGAAAAGTGAAAATACTTTAGGAGGACTATACATCTGAACATTCTAGAGATTTTCTTCTTTGTTTTTTCATTTAAGCGAGGGGGAGGGGCAGTTTTTTTTTATTGTTTTTTTTTTTTTTTTTTTCCTCCTAAGGTGTTCCATTGGCATGTTCAGAAACTTCTCTTGCAATGATATTACCATATGGATGGTTCCTTGACTTATTGTTTTGCTACAGTAAGGTGTAGAACTGTAGATTCTTTAGTGTTAACTGATAAGTTCTTTTTTTCTTGGAGGAATACCACAGACAACTTTTGTTGTGTTTGGTGGGTAGGTGGGAGATATTGCACATCTGGTTATGGTAAAGTCAAATTAGTTTTTTGATGTTTCTAATGATGGGCATTGTTCATAAAATGTTCTTATGGATGATGACACTAGCATGTTTTTCCTGGTCATTTCAAGCTTCATAACTCTTGTATTATATATACTATTAACACTTCAAGTTCTCTCTAAGGATCAGAACATGGCCTCTATTTGCATACTTCTTGCAGAATCAACTGTGGCAAAAACCATACTTGGAGATCATGTGCTTTCTAACACATTTCTTAATTTTGATTATCCTGCTCACTTATTACATCTTCAGGCTACTCTTTTTTAATGTTGCATGCTAATCACCCATACCAGTATAAAGAGAGCATTATAAATCTTGGTGCATGATTGGTCAGTTTAAGAGCAATCTTTCTCACAATTTGCTTTTGCCAAATATGGCAACTGGTTTCTGCTAAGAGTAATGGGTTATTGATTTATTCTGATGCCTTGGTTTTAATCAATAGCAGAATTTAGTACTGGTTTACTTAGTGATTGTGACTTGTTACAGCCTGCGATGCTTGCTGCCAATGTTAGAGCTGTTTTCACCTGCCTTCTAGATCAAGTAAGATTGCTGATTACCTTCTCATGTTTGAAGTTTGTTTCTGCTTATGGACATGCTTACTACCTAATAATATTCTGTTGAAAAATATTTATAGACATTGAATAGGAATTTTGTGGAAGGTTAAACTGTTAAAGACTAATTTATGAACTAATACATCTTAGGATTTATTTTCAGTCTGCCCAACTTTGCAAAGTAATTTTCTTTTGCATAGCTTTTTTGCACTTTCCACCCTAGATATCTTTTATAAATCTTTAAAAAAATACCAGTGACCATTTTCTGGAATGCATGAGATTAATAATACAGTTTGTCCCTAAGAATTACTGTTTGCTTTTATTTTTTTATTTTAGTTTCTATTATATCAAGTTCATTGTTTGTGGCCTTTCTTGCTCCTTATTGCCCCTCTTTTTTTTTTTTTTTTTTTTTTTTTTTTTTCTTTTTTTAAAATAATTTTGCAGGTTAGTCTATATGTTACAGAAGGCCTTGAGAGAGCCAGGGATAGCCTTACTGAAGCTGCAGCTTTAAGGGAAAGATTTGTGTTGGGAACAAGTGTTAGTCGAAGGGTTGCTGCAGCAGCTGCTTCTGCTGTAATTACATTATCCTTTGCATTTAATGCAGTTTGAATTGCCCAAGAAATACTTTTTAGAGAAATTTCACCTTCAGCTGACTGAGTTATGATATGATTGGTGATATGCAGGCGGAAGCAGCAGCTGCTGCTGGTGAAAGCAGTTTCAAATCTTTCATGGTGGCTGTTCAACGTTGTGGAAGCAGCGTGGCTATTGTTCAGCAAGTTAGTTTGCTATGTCTGACATGCTCAGTAGTTCAGTGTTTACCATGATAGATTGGCAGCTGGAGAGTGTCTTTTGTTATTTGTTTCAGTTTTTAACTGCAATTAACTTTTTTTTTTTTTCTGTAGTTTTTTGCCAACTCTATTTCCCGGCTTTTGTTACCTGTGGATGGTGCCCATGCTGCTTCATGTGAAGAAATGGCAAAGGCAATGTCCAGTGCGGAAGGTGCTGCTTATAAGGGGCTTCAACAATGCATTGAAACTGTTATGGCTGAGGTCTGTGCTTCAGAATTTTTATTTTGGAGTTTCTCAAATTTATCTCATTATAAACTTTTTGTTTATGAAAGCAATGATTTATCCAAGATTGTTGTCCATGTGGCTATATCTTAGATCATCTTTCCTCAATGGCACAGCATGATTTGTTTCTTTCATTAAAAAATAATGCAACTCTCTTTAAAACATTTCAGGTGGAACGTTTGCTATCAACAGAACAAAAGACAACAGATTTTCGGTCACCTGATGATGGCATTGGCCCAGATCATCGACCAACAACTGCCTGTACAAGGTTAGTCATAATAGCATGAAAGTATATTGAGTTTATCATTTATTTTAAGATTATTGATTTATTGGTAATGGTATAAATGTATAGGTTTCTATACAAGTATGCATCCTTAGACATAATACATGGCTTTTGAATATTTTCTGGTATATTTATTATTTTTTCCTTGACCAGAGTTGTTGCATACCTATCCCGAGTGCTTGAATCTGCATTTACTGGGCTTGATGGGCTAAATAAACAAGCTTTCCTCACTGAACTGGTATATCTTTTCTTTCTGGTGCTTTAAAATGTTTTTGATGTCTGCTGTTAAGAGTCCCACATTGATAAAATAAGAGAGAATATATGGGTTTATAAGGCCATAAGTTAGACTACTAATTGGTTGGATTCAATCTTTTAGTGTGGTTTGGCCCATGTGCAGAAGCCCAATCTTAGTTTATATTGCTAATGTAAGATATGTGCTGCCTTGTATTCATACATCTGTGCCAGAAAGTTCGGAGCCGACCTTGACTTGATTAAGCTACTGTTGTACTTGTGCGAATACGAATAGCAGTTCTGATATGCATGTTGGGGGGATTTACTATTTCGTAACTATGTTGTGTTATATTTAAACTAAATTGTGGAATGTTGGACCAGTGATATGTGTGCAAACATACTTACATTATTCTATACATAGCCTTCAGGTCCAGTAGTTTGAGTCTGCTGACCCCATTGGCAATTGCTTCATATTTTCTTTTCTGTGCTTTTTGTGCCATAATTCAGGAATTAATAATGTCACATGTCTACAGGGCAATCGCCTTCACAAAGGGTTGCTTAATCATTGGCAGAAGTTTACCTTCAATCCTAGGTAATTGTGCTGATTTTTTTTATTTATTTTTCAATGAGTAAAAATATCATACTAAAAGGCACCAAGGGGGTACCACCACAAAGATTTTTAGAGTGAAAACAGTACATAAACTTGAACCTATCCAAGAATCAATCACTGAAGGAGCACTAAAGGGCTTCTTTACTTGAAACCAAAGGAATAAAGTCTGTTGAAGTAAGAGATTGTTGAGTTTATCCACAGAAGTTGTAGACCTTCAAAGCAGCACATTTTCTTTCTTCCCAAGGTGGGGTTTACCCAGTGCACACACTCGGGAGGGGTTAGTGGTTGCGGGCTTCCCTCGTCACCCGAATGAGCCAACATAAACAAAGAGGAGCCAGATTCCATTCCTTGAATTCTCTGTTCCTTTTAAGACTCAAGCCTTTTAGCACTTACTGACCATAGAGGGCATGACCCATTGAACTCCACCATAAAACAAGTATTTCCAACATTTCGTTGTTCATTGGAGTGAATCACAACATGGTTTACTATTTCTTCCTCTTTCAGACACAAATAGCAGCCATTTGACATGAATGATCTTCCTTTTCAAGTTTTCCCCAGTAAGAATAGCTTCCATAGAAGCCTCCAAGCAAAAAATTGAAGCTTTTAGAGGGCAGCCTGGGAACCAAATATGCTTCCATGGAAAATTGCATGCTTCAACATTAATTAAAGCTTAGTAGAACGATTTGACAATGAATTAAAAAAGCTTGGTAGACAGATTTGATGATGAACATCTCATTGCTGGACTGTGACCTAATAATCTTGTTGATGTGTTCTCAGCCTCTGCTCTAGGCCCTGAGGAATATTTAGTTTCCATGAAGCTAAGAAAGTTGTCCAACTCCCAGTCTTGATACCTTTATGGAATCTGATATCCCAAAAGGTTTCACTATTTGAAGTATAAAAAATAAATTAAGGATCCAACAGTAGCATTTTGATCTTGAGAGATATGATCATATGAACAAGATTTGAAGAAGAGCATTAAATGATTAAATCCATGCACTGAGCATCTTTGCAAAATTTTTTCTATAACTATCTCCAAACTTCAAACCATATATATTTTGACAAAATTGTTCTTTATCTTTCAAAATACTTATTCAAACTGGGCAGCCATAAGGCTCAATGACAGGCCGGGAGAACCAAATTTGAATTGGCTATCACTTCTTTCCAGTGATTTTCTTTAGAAATCACCATTGCTGTTTTTTGCTGCAGTGTTGTTGCATAGCCTATAACAAATTACCCTTCACATGTTCTAGTCACCCCTTTTTGTTCTCAATGGTGTCTACATGTTTGTAAACTAGAAATACCAATACACTTGAGATGTATATTTGATTATTTATTCATGAAAAATATGCAATTCTTACCTCTTATTCTAAGTGGAGTAATATTTTTATTAACTTTGCAGTGGAGGACTCCGCTTGAAGCGTGATATAACTGAGTATGGAGAGTTTGTTCGTAGTTTCAATGCCCCCTCAGTTGATGAGAAATTTGAATTGCTGGGCATGTGAGTAGACATTGTTTTTGAAAAGCTTAGCCCTTTTACTTACTACATTCCTCTAAGTCATTGTCTTGGCTCTTGATTTCAGCATGGCAAATGTCTTTATTGTTGCTCCTGAAAGCCTTTCCTCTCTGTTTGAGGGAACCCCAAGTATTAGGAAAGATGCGCAGAGGTATTTTGACGTTGACACTATCTTTATCTTCCCAGCATTAACTGAACAATGCTTTCTCCAAGTCTTAACATGAAAATTATGTCTTTCATGAGCATGTCTACTTGCGTGTGTGTGATTTTTTTGAGACCTTTTAGCTATGCATTTCTAAAGGAACCATTTTGACTAACCGTAGATATACTAGAAGTGTTGACAATGCTTATGACCAATTATATATTTTTATCATTTCCTACACTACAAATTATGAGGGAGGACCTGGGGTGGGTGGGTGCACATTTTAGTGGGGGTCGGGTCCCCACTAAGCAAACATGTTTACCTACTTATTCATATGTAGTATTTAAAAAAAATAAAAAAAAATTATCCTCCAATTCTTGTTAAATTACCCCAGCATAACTTGCTTATAATTTCCTCCCCATCTTTATAGGTTTTATTAATGGTGTAAAGTTGACATGCACAGTAAAATCTCCAATCCAACTTTTCAGAAATTATATCTGTTCATAATTTATCTATCTATAATTCTATATAAAATAGATCAATAAATAGATAAGTAATTAGCAGTGTTTAAAAAAGATGAAAATAATAAATTGTATTTGAACTTTAGCGTTGCCCCACTGCTAATGCTTCTAGAGACCATGGGAAAAACATACATATCTTTAACCATGAATAGCCCAATATGTCCACAAACCAAATATTGCAATGTCATTAAAAGGTGGCTTTCATATTAACTCTTTTGTTTTTTTTTTTATAGTGCTTTACATTGTTTGTGTTTTCTTCTCCCAAAATCCTTTTAACAAGATAACCATTGTTGGGTGTAAATATAGGTTCATTGAGCTTCGGGATGACTACAAAAGTGCAAAACTTGCATCTAGATTTAGCTCCTTGTTTGGCTAGAACTCGATACTAAGCGATATGTGTGTAGAGGCAATGTAACTCTAAAGACTGCTTCGGCTCACAATGTTGTTATGTTTGTACCTAGTACTGAATGCATTGGGCATTTTGCAAGTGATGATTGGCTCACAATGTTGTTATGTTTGTACCTAGTACTGAATGCATTGGGCATTTTGCAAGTGATGATTTGACAGTTTCTGTAAGTTGAGAGGATTACAACATTAGACAAAAGGAAGGTCGGTATATGATTGTTTTTTATTTTTCTGGAAACCAAAGGTGTTGAGTTTAAGGATTCAGACACTAGCATGCTAGCTAAACTTTCATCAAGACTTCCCCTGACACGTAATTCACACCCCCATCTTTTGAGCCAAAATTTTCATTATTTCCCAACAAGAAATTATCTTGCTCAAAATTCATATATTTCATCTCACAGGCTATATATATATATATATATATATATATATATTAGTACTATTTGACTCTGTTACAATGTAGTATCTGTACATACTCAACCTAGTCCCCACTGGGGTTTAAACCTGTGACCGAGATACAATGTAGTATATGTACATACTCAACCTAGCCCCTACCGGGGTTTAAACGTGTGACCGAGATTCGGGAGAGCCACAGTTATGCTGCTTGACCACAAGATTTTTAGCTCAGAGACAATATGATCAATCTCATCATTAATTTCAACAAATGTTTTTTCTTCTGTTTGCACCTTATTAGTATCAAAGCAATTACAAGTGTTGAAGATGCTTACCTCATGCTCATCCCCTAGGTTGGCCTTCATCGTTTCAAAACGATTTCACAATTTCTTCATATTGAGACCGATATGCAATATGAGATGTGACCTTTGATACCAATTTCATGATTGGAAAACGCCATTGATTTTGAGGATATGTGACCTTTGATACCAATTTCATTGAGAATGACTGAATGAGAGTTAGAAGAGAGAATAGAAGGGAAAAGTAAAAAAAAAAAAAAAAGAAGAAATTTAATAATATACTTCTTCAACATCTCCTACCTAGCTTACACTATTTACTAACAAACTGCAACTGAGTGGTAAGCCGCAAAATTAGCTCAGATTCTAAAAGAAAGGGCAGTTGCAATCTTGTAATTATACCCTGTTTCCTAGTACTGTTTAACACGCTAACCATTTTGCCCAACCGCATTGTTTGTACTCATTTTATGGGTGGGTGCATTCTCTGATCAAGACTTTGATGTGCACCAGACCCAAAACAAGGAAAGAATAAAATGGGAGACGTGAATGGGAAAAATTACTTCTGTGGAGGGGTGTTTGAAAGTAAACACGCCTCTGCCGAAGGTGTTTTCAAAAATTACTCTTTTTTTTTTCACTCAATTTAATATTCATTAATATTTATATGGTTATCCATGCATAAATACAATGTTGATCGTATATACTATTTAATTCTACTATAAATACCTAAACCTTAATTTTAACCCTTCTTTTTTACCTTTCAGTCTTTCACCCACTTAGCTGCCGATTTGGTTCATTCTCTCTCTCAATCTTGTTTTCTCCCTAAAATTTCTATCTTCTTCTTCTTCTCCCAAAAATTTGTCTCTTCTTTAATTTTTTTTTTTTTGGTGTTAAAGAAAACTGTTGTCAGCGGTGGTATGTTTTTTTTTGTTTTTTTTTTTTGTTTACTGTTTTGCCTTTTTTTCATTTATTTGGTTTTTTTGTTTTGTTTTGTTTTGTTTTTTTTTTTTTTTTGTTCCATATATATATATATATATATATATATATATATATATATATATATATATATATATATATATATATATATATATATATATATTGTTTGTTTTGTTCCATTTTTTTTTTGTTTATATTCATTAATGCCATAAATAATTACCATAATGATTACTTAATAATATAATATTTTTATATGCAACATGTAATAGGAAATACACAAATACATAATTTTTTTTTTTAAAATAAAACAAACACACCTACCTTAGGGCGTGTTAACACACCATTCTCTAAGAGCATCCTTATCAGTTCCATATTTTTCACGATTTTAAAGTGTCATTAGGAAAAAGAGAGGAGGACAAGAAAAAAGGGAAAGAGAGGAGCGCAAGAAAAAAGAGAGAAAAAGAAAAAGAAAAAAGGGCCAGATAGATAAATAAAATAAAAAAATTAGTGTTTTCACGCGCGCCCAGTTGGCGCGTGCACGGCAGGGCCAGATTTTAGGCTGTGCAAGTTGGGCTACCGCACAGAGCCCCAAATGTTAGAGGGGCCCCAAAATTTTAGAGGTCTAATATTTAATTTTTACTTAACTAGTTTAGAAATAAAAACTAAAAGTTTTCACTTAACCTTAAAAGGTTTCATGAAGAAATGATAGAAATGTGTATTTATTATATTTTAACTTGAAGGTCAAAGGTTCGAAACTTGTGTGCACACTATTATTACTATAATAATAATAATTATAATTTATTCCATAATATGTCTTTTGGCTTTTTCTTTGCGCACAGTAACATTTTACTACGTTATTATTAAAAAAATTACGGTATTAGTTTTAAAAATTGTGATTTCGGTAGGGCCTCATTTATTTACTAGAACAGGGCCACAAAAATCTAAAAATCGGCTCTGGTGCACGGCAAGCGCCTGCTAGACGCATCAATGCGCCTGCGCCTAACGTGCTGCTGCGGAAACTCTTCAAACTTAATTAAATTTAAATGGGCCCCACAAAAAAACTATGTCTTGTCGGAATAAAAATCATCCAAAAACCTCCTCTTATTTGTTTAAAAAACCATCACTAAATTTGTAAGGTAAAAAAAAATCATCTAACCCCGATGGGAATGAGTAGTTTTTCCTTGTTTAGTATCAGTATCCCATCTCAAGGATCCCAAGGCAAAAACATCCTCCAACCAGTTAATGATTCCATTTTATGAACTCACGATGCAATCCACATGAACTATTACAAATTAAAATAAGGTTACTGTGGCATGATCATTTTTTGTCCTCTATCAACAAAACAATTTAAATGTCATTAAATACAAAGCCAATTCGGTTTTTAATTATATTAATAACTTTATTGATTATGATAAATTATTTTTAAGATAATAAAAATAAAGAATAAAAAGTATGTTATAATTATTATATATTATGTTATAAATAAAAAATAATTTATTAATATAAAAATCATTATTTATATATTTTATACAAATGTTAATTTATCATTTAAATCTCACTATCATCATTATATTTCTAAACAAACATCAATTTAATTGTCATCGCTCTAATCTAACCTCCACTACTCTAATGACTTTTTTTTATTTTGAATACTATTGACTCTATTACAATGCAGTATCTAAATATTGAAGCACAAAAAATCAAATCACTTCCACTGAAACTCGATCCCACAACCTCCCTTATAAGGAATCAGCTTGGTGTCATTGGACTACAAGGTCCTTGGACCTTGGCTATTCTAATGACTCTAATCTCACTGTTTTCCTATATAGAGCCTAAAAGTGACAGAACTGCCAAAAACAAAAGAATAATTAGTTTATTAGTAAACTGTACTACAGTAACATCTAAGTGATCAAACAATGCTAATATTAATATATTACCATTTGACCATAATAAGCAATATTATTAATAATGTTTAACAGTCGATAGATTACTTAGACATGGGAAAAAGATGACACAATTTAACGTCCAGTTACTAAGCAAAGCAAATGGTCAAAATTAATTGGGGGAAATTTTGTAAATAATTACAAAAATGAAACATTTCCCCAACACATTCTCACGCTTAAAGAGCAAAAAGTAGTTGTATATGTCTAATTGCGAAAGTTGGCCATATTACACAACACATTGTTGTTTGAAGAATGCATGTTCCACTCCATTTAATACACACATGAATGTATATCCACAAAATGAATCGTCAAACATCCAACGGCACAGCAGAGTCGAGCCTCACGCGATTTAACCTAACAGTTCCAAGAATGTACTCAAAATGAGTCCTCAAACATCCAACGGGACAGCAGAGTCGACCCTCACGCGATTTAACCTAACAGTTCCAAGAATGTACTCCGGGAGGTCTGCCTCTTCTTTTGCCTGCATTTTAAAGATGGCTTATGGTAAATTGTAACACAAACTTCAGGTGCAAAATATTTGCAGGATTTTGACTGTTAAACCAGTTCCATTCTTATTAAGCTCCACAAATAATATACCCACTGGGTTCAAATTTAGAGAAAGATGTAGGGGAACAACCTTAAGATAATTGTAAAGGTCACCAAATAAACTTCACAAATGGCAGAAAAGATGAATCTAGAGTCTTGCATAACATAAACTATTATTGAACTGTAGTTAATAGAGTGACTCTTGTGCTTGTTTTCGCAAGCAACAAAAGAATTTTCCACAAATAGAAAATTACATACCTCTATTAGAATAGCAAGATCAACAACAAGGCTCGTTACATATCCAAGTACTAGACCTATGATGCTCCTTGCCACAGAAGAGGAGCCAATGTCCACGTCAATCTGCACATGGATCTTGTTAAAGTACAGAATAAAAAATCATAGAAAATATAGGAAAGAAGAAAAAAATAAATAAAGAAAAAAAGAGAATCAACATTACAAAAGATTATGGATCCCGATGCAAACAATAACTAATTCATGTGAGATATAACCAATAACACTTTCTTAGCTAATTTCTATTGATTGCTCTGGAGACAACTGAACAAACATTGACTGTTTGATCAGGATTTGGCCATGGACCAAAGCAGTAACTGCCTGAACAGACTTGTTCTCAAGTATAAAAATAAAGCTCTTCTAATACAAGGTCAAGCTTAATTATCATAGGAAATGTATATAGATGTGTCGTTGCTCACTTGCTCCAAACAGAAGTCAATTCATATCATGCATTCAAGCCATAATTCGTAACTGTGTGATTTATATTTCTATTTCATACTTCTTGAAAAGAGGACCCAAATTAAATTCTTTCTGACAGCAAGACTCGAATAGGGATTTCATAATATTCTGGGTTTCTTACAGATCCATATTCTCCATCAAGACCTTGAAAGTTGAAACCCTTTGTAAATGAAATAATTATAAAAAGAAAAGAAATTTCTCACTCAAATATACTAATCTTGATTCATTTTAAATATCAAGATGAAAATGCCAGCTCTCAGAATAAGAGCTTAAGCAAGGGCAAGAACTGGCAGCGGATTGTTATATAGAGACATAGAGTTAAATTTTTTTGCATAGTTACAAGGAAGTTTAACATAATATAGTTAAGATATGCATAT